ATGTAGGTTATAAAGACTAGCGTAATAACCCTCAAACGCGGATGAGATTCCCCGGATGTTGTAGAGTTTGGTATTGTCGGGTGCCTTTTCGTGTTGGATCGGGCGGCGCTATGGGCGGGGGTGGCGTATACGTGACAAGTGTTGACCGCATTTATTTGCTAAGAAGTAGTGGGTATTGTGTGCCTTATCTCGTGCCACCAGCGAGGAAGAGTCCAACAGCTGGAGTAAGTCACTGCGAGCGTTTGATAAGTCCTCCACGGTCCTCGGGTCTAGCGTGCTCTTGTGGGAAGATTCCAGGTGCATAAGCGAGAACAAGCGACGTGTCTCCGCCATTCGGGCCTTTTTTAAATGCGAGCCATGCTTAATAACTCCTCTATTGACACACTTAAGCGCTTCACATTGATTAAGGGAACCGGTTGTGTCCGAGGAATTATCAAGGGCAAAGTGTTGTATGGTCTGTGATACCTCTTCGATACACAAGGAGTCCTTGAGCAGAGTATCATTCAAGCGCCAAGAAAAGTGGTGCGTAGGTGTTGGTCGGTCTTGGATTGTCAGATGTTATTGGGGCATGGTCAGATCATAATAGGTGGCCGTTGGCGGAGGAAATCGAGGAGTCAAGGAAAGATTGCGACACAAAGAGAGCAGTCAATGCAACTATAGACGTGTGAGTCGGGGAATAGTAACTGTAATTTCGCTCCGATGGGTGTTGGGTTCGCGAGATGTCCACTAGGTGTAAGTCGTGAAGGCGCGATTTAATGAGGGAATAGGGTCGACGTAGGGAGGGAGGATTTGCCCATGGAGGTGTCAAGGTCTGGCTAGAGAGCCACGTTTAAAGTCCCCTTCAACTTTTGGTGGACCACTGCAATAGTTGGACAGCTTAGAGAGGACCTTTGTAAGAAATGGGGCTTGATCTTGGTTGGGGGCGTACACATTCGCTACCGTCAAAACAAGGTCTTGAAGCTTTAACTTGAAGAGGTATCGACCCACTGGGTCAATGAGCGAGTCAAGACCTCTGGGCTGAAGGTATGATCGAAGGCGATCGACACCCCCTGTGACCTGGCCAGTGGGTTAGTACTATGGTACCATTGAGTGAAATGACGATTACGGAGGACTGGGATACTATCAGAGCGAAAATGGGTCTCCTGAAGGAGCAGTATCTGCGAGCCGTGTTTGTGGAAATGATATAGCATCTGGCCCCACTTCTCCGGCGTGTTGAAGCCCCTACAATTAATAGAGGAAAATTTGATCGGAGTCAGTGGCTGTGCGACAGGTAGGGATTGAATGCGTCACCCACAACGTTGTGCAGTCCCTCTCTCTTGGACTGTGCGATAGACAAAAAAGGGGTTATTCCCTGAGGCGGGGGGGGGGGGGGGGGGGGAGAGAGGGGCAGACAAAGAATGGAAAGAAACAGAGAAAGCTACCAGACACACGCTGTCTGAACAAGCGTACAGTGTGGTACAATACAATACACTGAGGGCCTAGGTGGGGAACGTCACAGGCGCACGTGTCCGATCCCGACCCATGCCTCACAGGCAATTGGCACTTCAGGAAGTGTCCCCTCGGATGGGGTTGACCCCCCCCTTCTAAAACATCTTCAGAGAACCCTCAAACAAACAGGCATGATACAACTAAACAATTAAGCTCCCCCCCGACATATAAACATAAGCAAGAAAAAACGTAACCAGGTGCTAACCCGGTAAAGTTAGGTAATTGGAGGGGGGGCCTAAGGCCCCTACGACTATGGCCGGAGGTGCCCCAGTCTGCCACAGCAAGCTGTGGCAACTGAGGATAGCCCTCCAGCCACAGCCTCAGGGTCCCGGAGACAGCAGGCACAAATCTAAGTCACTAAATCACTAGGCTATTAAAACTAACAGAGGTAATCCACCTGGGCAGGGTAGACAAAAATGGAGGGCGTGTCCCGAGTTGCTCAGATAGCGGGTCATCCTTCTGGATTCTTCTGAGAAGAGGACCCAGCGTGCTTCTTCTTTTGGATGGATTGCTACCGTGGAGGTGGGGGGCCAGGGATTGGGAGCTGGTAGGGCCAGTCCAGGATGGCCACTTGAGGTAGCCCGAACACCCCTAAAAATGTGGGCATGTCTCTGAGCGTGCAAAATTGTGCGGATTTACCCTGATGCGATGCTTGAAGCTGAAATGGGAATCTCCAGTGGTAGCCGATGTTCCTGTCCTGCAGCATCTGGGTGAGGGGCGCAGGGCCCTGCACATGTCCAAGGCTCTGTCATGAGAGGTCAGGGAGTAGCATCACCGGCTTTTTAAATAGGATGGTGATCTGCAGGCTGGCTGCACACATGATGGCGTCCTTGATCTTTAAGTACTGAACCCTGCACAAGGTGTTGCGGATAAAGAATGGATCGGGATTTCTGGGGCCCATCGTGTGGTGTACGCGGCCCAGCTCTATAGGGGTATCTTTGGGTTGCTGTAGTAGTTGGTTGAAGATGGTGAAGACTGCTGTGGCCAGGTCTTTAGGTTTGAACAGATTCTGATGCCCCTGATCCGAATGTTGTCACGGCGATTTTTTGTTCACTATATCGTCTTGTTGGTACAGGAGCTGTTGTATGAGCACCGTAAGAGTTAAGGGTCTTTGTGTGTTTTGTAAGGTGTTACTTAGACCGTCAGTCTAAGGTGTTGTCTTGTATCTCCTCTAAACTTTCATTCAGGGCTCTATCATTTACTTGCCAGAGTTTCAAAGAAGTTCCATCCCTCCTTCCAGGATCAGATATGTTTAATTTGGACTGAGAGCACATTCCCTTTTTTTAACAATATCTTGACTGGGGCGGCCAAAGGAGGAATTTTATATGTGCTAGGATATCACTTACTACATATCAAGAATTTATCATAACCTGGCTGTTGAGCATAAGCATATTTAAACCATCATCAATTTTTTCCTGTGAAAGGATTGTTTTCTTCAAAACTTCTTTTTGACTTTTTCACCTTCGGTTATCTGGGTCTCATTTAAATCTAGTCCTTGACAGATACTTTTTTTTTTTTTTTTTTTTTTTTTTTTTTTTTTTTTTTTTTTTTTAGGCCCAAGTGCTTTTTTTTCCTGCCAGTATGGATCATAACTGTATTTATCCTGAGGAGTCAGCGTACCCAATAGGATCCAGATCTTCAAAGCACCATGAGGGGCAGTAAGGAATGTCATCTTCAGGGTCTTTTTCACCAACTTCACCCACTCTGAGAAAGGAGGTGAAGTTCTTGTAAGAACCTCCTTTCTCAGTCTCGTGTTTCTCAGGTGTTTGGTCCACCTTCACTCGGCTAGCATGGATCAAGGACTGGGAATTCTCCACCAGAACAGCCATTCTGGTAACTATCACTGTAGTAGGTGCTCCAAAAGGGTAGCCTTGCTTCTTGTCTTTATTTTCTCAGGAACCAACAGACCCTTTCCAAGTGGCAGATATCGTAGTGGTCCGCCAACTCGCTAAAGGAGAGGTGCGAGCAACATTTCTTTCAACCTAATCTAAGGTTTGAATCAATTTTCCCACTTACTCTTGTACCAGGTCAAGGTCCCCTCTTTCTATCATAAGTGGCTCTCTAGCCCAAGGAGTGGGGAATGGTCTTCCCATTAATATTTCAAAAGGAGATAACCCTGTAGTCTTAGGTGGTGGTCTTACCTCTGCTAGAATTGCAGGTAACATCTTCCAGTGGGTATAGGTTCCTCCAGTGGCCTTCCTCAACTTATCCTTAGTTGTCCTGTTCATCCTTTCTACTATACCTGAACTTTGGATATATAATATAGAATATGAATATTTCCCAATCTATCTTATGTACTTTTACCAGGTCTTTGCATACCTTGGGCACAAAGGCTGGTCTGTTATCAGAATTTATCTGCAGCGGACATCACCATCTGGGTATCCTCTCCTGTGTAAGAATTTTTACTATAGTCTGCATCTTCTTTAGTGGTGACAAATGCTTCCACTCATGTACTAAACATCTACCATTAACAAAAACTCTTGCCTCTGTCCTGTTTTTGGCATGTGGGTAAAATCTTTGTATATGGGTGAAAGGTGTAGTTGGGTACACTAGATGCTGGTGTTGTGGTTTCTTTAGGTTCTGTGGATTGTTCCATATACATGTAATGCACCTGGAAACATATTCTTTCACCAACCGAGTTAAACCTGTAATGTAAAAGATCTTGCAATAGTGTTTCACATGTCGTTTTCCATCCTCTATGTCCTAGACCGTGGTACTGTGCAATGAACAGTGGGGCACTTGACATGGGAATGCATGGTTCCCCCTCTAAGCACACTATTATTGTTAAATTATAATTATTATTCAGGATTTATATAGCACCAACAGTTTGCTCAGTGCTTTACAATATAAAGGGAGACAATACAGCAACAAGACAGTTCAATACAAGAGGGATAGGAGGGCCCTGCTCCTTAAAGCTTACAATCTGAGAATAGATGACTAGTATGCCCAGGATGTTAAATACATAGGGAACTATCATATGCAGCATATTAACCAGATCTTTAGGCAGGTTAAACAATTTCCTTGCTCAATATATTGCTAAAATGTAATATAATGCTACAATATCCAGTACTAAAATCAAAAGAGCAAGTCATCGCTAACACCAGTAGAATGGTTGGCTGCTTCTGACCACCGTGGTTGGAAACTCTTTCTAGCATGTCTTGCAATTCCCTATCTGCACCCTGACCAGGCTCAGAAGCTGAGGTACCAGCAGATATGTACTGAGCCATGTGTCTCCGGGGGGCTTGCATCATGGGGCAGGTTATTGCTGGAAAACCGTTGCGGTTTCATATATGGCTGGAGCTGTGGTTGGGTTATGTTAAAGGTGTTTAGAAAACAAGTTGGTGCTACAACACCTATTGGTTGGGGGGCCTGGAAAACTGTTCATATGTAAGTGGCTTCGTATTTGCATAGGAAGGGTGTGGGTCTTGTAGATATTCTCATATTTCTAGTATATTCCACCTCACAATGGTGTTTTTTTTTTTTTTTTTTTCCTTCTGGCTGGGCTTCTTGACCTACTGGAGATATCTGAGTAAACTGTGGTCTTTCAATATTATGTAGCTGATTCTCTTCTTCTGGGGGTAATTTTTCTTATTCTTCCTGTCTCTTCGGTTCTGGAACCAGACCTGAATTCTGTATTCATGTACACCTGTGAGTTGGGACAGTTTCTCCCTCACTGAGATTCCTGGATAGGGGTTGGTTTCAAATGTTTTAAGCAACAATTTGAGATGGGATTGGTTGTAGACAGTACGCAGTCTCCTGACTTTTCCAGTGATGGAGCTGGTGCCATTTGCCAAAACACAATCCTTATCCCAGAAGCAGTGCTCTGATTGTTAGGAGAACCGTTCTATATATAGTTATCTGAGTTTGTTAATGTTGTGGAAATTGGAGTCATGGGGTTTGGTGGCTACTGGTACCTTTTCACTTTCAACAGTGCCCTCCAAAGTGATATGCTTCAAAGTTGAGACAGAGGCCTGTTGAACTGGTTGAGAAATATATCCACTATACTAAGCTCGATCCCTTTCCTCTCGAACGCCGGTATCAAAACTTCTCCCAGAGATTTCTTCTTCATTGCTGGGACGATTTCCGTCTCTATATCGACATTCAGATAAAACTTTAATGCAAAGCATTCTTTACTCGGATCATCTGTGTGCCGTCTCCGCGTTGTCGTCTTCGTTAACTTCAACCCCACCGACTTATCTGAGTCGTTAGTTTAAGCAGATCAAGTGTCCTGAACAAAAGGGTACAGTTTCTCTCAAAGTTGGTTCCTGATGTTAAAAGGGAGAATCTCCATCTTAGACCAGAAGCTGGATCTAGTTGTGCTCCAGACCCATTCCAGTCCGCTAAATCAGCTGTTGTAGCAAATTTTTGTAAATCAACATACATCTGGTCATGTGGTGTGGTTGTGATGCCTGAAGTGAGCATAGGCATCTGTTCACTAGCCACATGTTGTAATGCAGCTTCCTGTGCTACCTTATCTGCTAATGCATTTCCTTTGGCAATATGATCTCTGCAATTGGTATGTGCCCTGCAGTGAAGAATGGCTAATGTTTTCAGTAACTGTATGGCTTTGAGTAGGCCAGATATCAAGGAAGAGTGATATATGGTTTTTGCCTTCAGCAGCAATGAATCCTCTTCTCTCCCAAATGACCCCAAAATCATATACAGCCCCATGGGCGTATTTGGAGTCAGTGGCACTATTTTTTTTGTGGACTATTTTACACAAATTATAAAGCAAAAACAATCGTCCACGTGTGATCTTCAGTATAGCTGGATATATTGAACACTGCAGCAATGAGCATAAATTTTGCATGTGAAAAAAAGGTGGGATCCTTCACCTGTAAGATTGCCCCCTCACCTTCATGAAGCAACCCCACAGGGTCAAAAAGCTTTCATGCTATTAGGTTTAAATGTAGAATTCTACATTAATTGCTTTCTTAGCGATTTCTTAGCCATTTTTGAAGAGCCATAATGTACCGAGGAGGGGAAAAGTGTGTGTGTGTGTGGTATATTATGTATGTGTCCAGTTTTCAATTAAGAACAATTTTAGGGTAATTACTTTTTTGTCTCACTGCATGTTCATATCATTATTTAGTCAGCCACCAATTGTGCAAGTTCTCCCACTTAAAAAGATGAGGCCTGTAATTGGCATCATAGGTAGACATCAACTATGAGAGACAAAATGAGAAAAAAAATCCAGACAATCACATTGGCTGATTTGGATAGAATTTATTTGCAAATTATGGAGGAAAATAAGTATTTGGTCACCTACAAACAAGCAAGATTTCTGGCTCACAGACCTGTACCTTCAAGAGGCTCCTCTGTCCTGCACTCATTACCTGTATCAATGGCACCTGTTTGAGGTTGTGGACAGGTGTCTTTTATACTGATAACAAGTTCAAACAGGTGCCATTGATACAGGTAATGAGTGCAGGACAGAGGAGCCTCTTGAAGGTACAGGTCTGTGAGCCAGAAATCTTGCTTGTTTGTAGGTGACCAAATACTTATTTTCCTCCATAATTTGCAAATAAATTCTATCCAAATCAGCCAATGTGATTGTCTGGATTTTTTTTCTCATTTTGTCTCTCCTAGTTGATGTCTACCTATGATGCCAATTACAGGCCTCATCTTTCTAAGTAGAACTTGCACAATCGGTGGCTGACTAAATACTTTTTTGTCCCACTGTATGTAATACGGAAGGTATTTTTCTGGGGAATGTATATTGGTGGTTGTTTAAAACAAACATATTTGCATACTGGGTGTTGCTTGGGTTGGCCTCCTAGTTCTTGCATACATAGCACAGTCTAACCAATATAGGTGTTTGTAGTGATGCATGACTCCATGTGTGTGCAGGAGCTGACAGGGAGAGATCTGTATGATTGTGTATACTGGAGACAATGCTGATTGTTCTGAGAATGCAGGCTGCACTTTATCCCTCTGTCCTGGGAAAAAAAAGAGAAAATCCTTTTATATACGTATGCTCTAGTGACCTCGCACATTTCTTTTTGGCATAACATTTGGCCACGGCACTTTTTATTGGTAATTACACACAACATAACTTCAAACTGAAATATCATTTATTCAAACATCTTACACTTTTATCACCCATAAATAAACTTGCTCAGTCTCTACCCACTTGCCCTCCGGAGGATTTACCCCCCCCCCCCTTTCCTGACCGGGCCTCCTTTTTTGCTATTCAGCGTTGCACTACTTCAACTGATAATTGCGCGGTCATGCAATGCTGTACCCAAATGAAATTTTATGTCATTTTTTTCACACAAATAGAGCTTTCTTTTGGTGGTATTTGATCACCCATGCACCTTTTTTTTTTTTTTTTTTTGCACTATAAACAACCAAAAATTTTGAAAAATATTTTACTTTTGGCTGATGAGGGATTTCCAGGGGTCATACAACATATGCGCTTGTCTATAGCGCGTCCGGTGGTGGTGTGCGCAATTTTACGATTTGATCCTGGCTTTTTAAGCTTCTACGCAAGACCCTGCGATAATTTGTCTGGACATTATCAGTATTATCAATTTCATCTGATGTATTTGTTATCTTCTCTGTTTAGTGCTATATACCACATTGTGTTTCAGATCATCTGAGATATATATATGTGTTTATAGATCTTCTATTTACTAGCGCCACACTTTTTATTTTTGTGTATTTTTGAAGGTTTTACTGTGATTGCCTTGGGTGCATTGGCTACTGATGGGAGAGTGCTCACTTTTTTTATTTTTTCTCATGTAGCAGAATACATTTTGGCCTAAATTTATGATTTGGATATTTTATGACAGAAATGAGAAAATATTCTTCAAAATGTTCAGGTTTTTTGTTTATAGCACAATAAATAAAAAGTGCATGGGTGATCAAATACCACCAAAAGAAATTTTGGTCCTTTTTGTGTGAAAAAGGACACCCCCCCCCCCCCAAATGACCCCTTTTCGGAAAGTAGAGATCCTAAGCTATCTGATGAGAGGCATATTGAGTCCATGGAAGATTTTGTCATTTTCCAAAAATCTTTGTGTGTAAAAAAAAAAAAAAAAAAAAAAAAAAAAAAAAATTGTATATTGGTGACACAAGCCATATTTATGTGGCATTACACCCCAAAATACATTTTGCTACTTCTACTGAGTATGGGGATACCACATGTGAGACTTTTTGGGAGCCTAGCCACATACAGGAGCCTGAAATTCAATGACCACTTTGAAAGCCTGAAGGTGCGTAACTTCCTCACTACCTATCAGCTTTGGAGGCCCTGACATGCCAGGATAGTACCAAACCCCCCCCCCATGACCTGTTTTTGAGAAGTAGATACCCCAAGCAATTTAAAGACGTATGAGGAAATAAAGCCCTTTTAAGCCTGGAAGTGCTTATTGGGTTTTGGGGTCCTGTACTTGGCTAGACTGCCAAAAAGTCTCTCACATGCGATACCCCATTACTTGAGAGAAGTAACAGAATGTATTTTGGGGCATATTTCCACATATACCCATGACACGTGTGAGTGACAAAAAAAAAAAAAAAAAAAAAAAAAAAAAAAAACAATTATACAATTGTCTTAGAAGAATTGATTTTTTTTTTTTATTGTTTTCCAAAAACCATTTGGTAAAAAATAATTTGACTCAACATGCCTCTCAGCAAATAGTTTGGGGTATCTACTTTCCAAAAAGGTGTCATTTTGGGGATTTTTTTTTTTCTAGGAAATGACTTTGAACCGCCAAGGTGTGTGTGTGTGTGTACCCTAGTGAATAAAATGGTGGGTGCTTCAATTTGTGACCTACTAATCGCAATTTTTTTTTGAAAAAATACACTTTTTTTTTTTTTTTTCCTTTTACTGCACAAAAACAAAATATATTGGCCAATTATTTGGTAAAATATAAAAGATGATGCTTTTGCTGAATAAATAGATATCAAACATGTCATGGTTTAAAACTGCGCAATGGTGACAAACTGCATACATTTTTAATAGCCACAGACAACATTTTAAAAGCCTTTACAAGCTACCATTTTAGATTTAAAGAGGAGCTCTAGTGCTAGAATTACTGCCCTTGATCTGGCGTTTGTGGCAATACCTCACATGCATGGTGCAACTGCTGTTTACATACTCAAATCCAAATATAAAAGAACGAGCGCTAGATCTGTGAAAGGAGCAGCTAGCATGAAAGGTAATAACCCCAGAACCTTCTATAACACAAAATATATCCAACATGCAGCGCTGAAATGGTTAATGATTGCCATGAATAATTACTATTATGATATACCCTATAATGTGTATTGAACAAGTGTCTATAAAGCGTCTCTGATTAGCCGAGAAAGTTGTGTAATAAGCCAGCATTCCACAACAGTACAGATAGGTGATATAATCGTGACAGTCTATCTAATAGTTAGGATATTGATGTGTGATTTTGGTGGTAGATATAGCTGTAGATTGCACTAACCAGATAGCGCTTACTATTGCGCATATGATTGATAATGGGTCATCTATGGTTGGACATCTGGTATTCAGATCGATTGATGAACAGCACCAGGAATATGAGCATGTCAGCCAGTATATCCAGGTATAGAGATGCGGTTTGAATCCACCAGGGGGAACCAGCGGTCAAGATGTCATCAAGGATCTTTAACCCAGTGTCGGTGTGTGTAGTATAGGCGAAATCCCCCAGAGGGTGCCAGTAGTTAAGGATGTTGTCAAATGGTCTCCTTTGAAGGCAGGCTCATAGAGAAAAGAGCCCAAGCACAAAAGATTCCATAGTGCAACACA